TTCACTCTGTATCTTTTAAGTGTATTGTACACCTGTTATTAACAGCACACCCAGAATCATATCTTGGCATTAAAATTCCATGAAGTCCATTTTGAGAATCGGATTACTACACCTATTTTTAGCTCTCCACACAAACCACTTTTTCCATTATACTTTCAAATATCCTGGGTTACAGTGATATTGAACATAGCTCTTACAGCCAAATAAAAACCCCATGTTTGTCTAATCAGACGGGACCGTTGTCCGCACTAATATAATCACATTAGGAAGGCAGCTACCTGCCTGTGCCTCTCCTCCTCTGGGTCTGGGACTACCCTCCCCATTTGCTGCTATATTTATCTGCCTTCTTGGCCATAAAAGGCTGGCTGTGGGGCCCTGACATTCTGCTGCCTGACCACATGCATTATTTTTGAACTGGCCCCCAGGGTCCTGCCTTTAGCCCTGCCTCTGAACTTTTTCTTGGATTCAACCTAGAGTGGGGTTTTCATTCTCTCCTCCAGCTCCTCGGCCACATCAGAACATTTCCCCCACCATTACTCCTTTGGAAACTGGTAAGTGTGACAGCCAGGCAGAGAAAATGCACTTGAGCGCTTATGTGCTCATCAGCACTGCAGTGTGTGGCTTCTTGCTCGCCTCTCAGCTTAGCAGTTTTCTCACAGAGATGTCAGAATAGCAGAGAAATAGGAATCTGGGAACTAGAACAGCAGGGAGCCAGCTGGGCTGGCAGGGTTATTTTCTCAGATCATTGTATTCTTTTTAAATTAAGCTCCCATTCCTAGAGCTATAAGATCATGTTTGTCTCAGATTCAACTCTGACTACCCTTTCCACGTTATAATTCAGCAGTTTGGTTGAAATCTGGAATGGACGAGGGGCAGGAAATCCTGTGCTTTCCTTTCTCTGATGATAAACTGGGCCAAAAGGAGGCAAATTAACGCTGAGGTTACTAGTTTATGATCCAGTGATTTTTTACTCTGACAATGCCATCAGTGTGTGTCTGTGTGCACCATGGTTCTCCTAACTTGAAAATGATTAACTCAGATTTCAGAGGCAGCACCGATTCCCCACAGAATGATCCTGAAGTTAACACCTTCTGTGAATAATTTTAATCAGATTTCAACCTTGAATGCCTATCCAAAAGTATCAAATGAAGATTACAACTATGGAGTTTGTATTTCTTCCTAAATTACCAAATTGTTTCTGAAAATAAAATTTAAGTTTTAAATGAACAGAAGACAATAAAACCATTTGTCCTGCCAACAAACTCTAGTTGTCCAGCAGTAGGGATAATCCTTGTCTACTTGATGAAGAGGAGGAAGTTATACCTTGGTTCCAGAGGTCAACCAGTTCTGTTGACTTAACGTCAAGCCCTGTTTACTTGTAATGCGTGATCCATGTGCATGGAATATTAAATATTATTAAAAATAAATACATTGGGAGAAATAAAAATAGAGAGGAAAATAGAATTGGGGTAAGATTTAAAGATTTTATTTTGTGAAAATTATTTCAAATCATCTGGGTAGTGACTTTAGCTTATAACATAATAAGTGGAAAAACCTTTATTATTTATTTGTAGATCATTCAGACAGTATTTGCCATGTGATAGTGTGGTATGTATTGTTATAGAAACATATCTAATATCTTTGTAACTGCCTGGCATAATTCTATATTTATTCTAATCTTTTGTATTATCAAAATTCATATAATAATTATTAATTATCTATGACAATTTTATCCTGTATATTTAAGAACAGAAAAGAGCAATCTATTTAAGGGTTGAAGCAGAGTTGCTTGTTAGTAGCTATTTTTTTCTCTTAGGAAATGCCATGTAGACTGATATCTTCCTTGAGACCTAAGATACATATTTCTGGAGTGAAGTTTGCTAGATTTTCTTCTCTAGGGAATACATACTGACTTTTAAAATAGCTTAAATGAAAAGTATTATTAAATATGGCAAAAATATAGCAACTTCAGAAGGATTTACTCCTTCAGGTTTTTAAGAAAAACAAATTTTAGAAAAAAACTGATTACTCCCAAACTGATTTTCTTATAAGATTTTTTTTTTTTTTTTGGACTGGGTATTGAATTCAGGAACACTCAACCACTGAGCCACATTCCTAGCCCTATTTTGTATTTTATTAGAGACAGACAGGGTCTCACTGAGTTGCTTAGCACCTTACTTTTGCTGAGGCTGGCTTTGAACTCATGATCCTCCTGCCTCAGCCTCCAGAGCTGCTGGGATTACAAGTATGTGCCAATGCATCCAGCTTCTTATAAGATTTAAAAACAACATTTGAAAAGATACATAAAAGCGTTTAAAAAACTAGGAGGGGAGACATCTATAAAAATGTTATGTTGTCCATGCAGCTGATAAATCTCCTAACAGTGAACAGATTACTCAAGAAAGCTAATGTAATGTGAAGTCTCCCCTCCCAATGCTAAGCAAACTCCATCTTTGATTTTTGGTATAATGGTAACTAGTTCACAATGCCAACTGGCATCCTGAGGAATGACTCTCTTACTTCTTCATGTGGGAAGACTGGAAGCCTTCATATTCCTTGTAAAGCAAATACTTTTTTCTGATATACCCTTTTGAAGTGTTCCTAAGATTTGACAGAGCTTGTGAGTAACACTGCCATAAGTCCAGGGCTCAGTCTTAGCACCTACTTTTCCATTTACGTTTGTTCTCATCTAGTTTTTTTGTTTGTTTGGTCTTTCATTACCACCGAAATGCTGTTTGCTCTCTAAGGCAGGTTTTTATACTGGTCTACTTCCCTGAACTCCAAAGTTACATATCCAGCTTCCCATTTTAGGCCTCCTCTTAAAGGTCTAGCAAGCATCTCAGATGCAGAATGTCTCAAACCAACCTTGTGTTCTTCTAACTCAAACCAAGGCTTTCTTATCCTCCCCATCTCCGTCATAACAACCTCAGTCTTCCAGTTACTCAGGCAAAACCCTTGGCATTATCTCTCTTCACACTCTAATTCAGAACTTCCACCGAATGTTATTTGTTCTATCTTCCAAAACTGTGCACCGTCTGACCACTTGTCACATTTTCACCACTACCTCTGTCATTGTTACCCTGGATACTGCAGTGGCCTTTGTGTTGTGTGCTACAGCCACCATAGCAAAGTACCACAGACTGGATGGCTTACCTAACAGAGACTTCTTTTCTTACAATGCTGGAGGCTAGCTATCCAAGATGCAAGGGTTGGTTTTCTCTGAGTCCCTCCTTGGTTTGTAGATTGCCCTCCTCTCCTCCCTTTGTTTCCACATGGTCCTCCCACTGTTATATGTACAGATAATGCGTCCCAATTTCCTTTTCTTATAGGGACACCAAGTGTCATTCTCAGCTCAGAACCTTCCAATGGCTTCTCAGTCTCTCAGAATAAAAGATCAAGTCCTTACTGTCGCCTATAGTACCCTACACTATCTGCCCTTCCCCCCTGCCTGCCCCTCATCTCTAGGACACCATCTTTGCCTCTCCCTCCTCCCACACCCCCTGCCTCTCTGGCTGGAGCATGATAAGTGCCCCTTCCTCAGGGCCTCTGCACTGGTATTTTATCTAGAGCACTCCTCCCCCAGATACTCTCATGCTCAGATGTCACCTTCCAGCAAAGCCATCCCTGATGGGGCTATTTAAAATTGCATCTATCCCTCTTTCCTGCTTGATTTTTCCTCTATCGTACTTAGCACATGCTAATGTACCTCATTAATTTTCATGACTATCTCTTACAATAGAATATACAGGTCTAACTACTCCAGTTACCCTACTCCTTGGTATAAGACTTTAAATCTTCTTATAAGATTTACCCAAAAGAACTAAAATCAGCACATTATAGTGATCCGAGAATATCAATATTTATAGCAACACAATTCATAATAGTTAAGTTATGGAACCAGCTCCAGTGCCTACCAACAGACGAACAGATAAAGAAAATGTGCTGTTTATTCACAATGGTGTTTTACTCAGCCATAAAGAAGAAAAAAATTATGGCATTTGCCAGTAAATGGATGAAACTGGAGAACAGCATGGAGGTGAAATAAACCAGACTCAGACAGTCAAGGGTCAATTATTTTTTCTCCCATGGAAAAGCTAGAGCAGAATAAGAGGAGGGGGGCGGGGGCAGGAGGGTGAATTCCATGAAAATAGAAGGGAGATCAGTGGAGTAGATGAAGGGGATTGAGGAGGAGAGAGAAGGATTCGGAAAAGGGAGGAACTGCAGGATAAAATTAACCTTATGCTACATATATAAAAGATACACCACAGTGATTTCCACCTATGTGTATCTTTAAAACACCAATTAAAAACAATAAATAAAGAAATGGAAGGAAGACAAGTAGAGAAGGGAAATAGGGTGGGAGGAGAGGAGGGAAAGAGGAAGTACTGGGGACTAAAATAGAGCAAATTACATTCCATGCATGTATGACTGTGTCAGAATGAACCCCACTCTTATGTATAACTATAATGCACTAATAAAAACATTTAAAAAAAGAATCTACCGTTCTGGAGCAGGTTATTACAGCAGAGATTTTTGCTTTTGGTTTGTTTTTGTTCACTTCTGTATTTCTTATGCTAGAGTAATTCCAGGCCCATAGTGGGTGCTCATTAATTATTTGTTGAATGAATACTACATTGCACTCCATCATTACATATTATCCCAAATGAAGTCCCGGTCAGAATGAAATTGCCAAAAAAATTTAGAAATGTGCATGACAGAGGGCCCGAGGGAAAAAGCACAACAGCAAGAGTCAAGAAACCCTGTGAGGCCCTCCTAAATATAAAGAAAAAAGAAGTCACAAGACAGGAAGGGACACACAGGTTATGTGGGAGGGAGTTTACTGAGTAACCCGTTAGACTGAACCTCACATCCTTTTCCATTTACCCCTTGGAAAGATGAATGCATGCATTCTTACACGTTGGTGTGGAGGACTTGTCCTATGGCCTGGGTTCCTTAATAATTGACTCAAGAATTGCTGTCCTCTTGTAGGCTGCCTGCTCCCCTCGAGGGCACATGATGTCGTTACCTTTCTATCAGAGGTCCCACCAGCACTATGATCTCAGCTACCGCAACAAGGACCTTCGCACCACCATGAGCCAGTACCAGCAGGAGAAGAAGCGATCGGCCATCTACACCCACGGCTCCACCGCCTACAGCAGTCGGTCCTCGGCGGCTCACCGCCAGGAGTCGCAGGCCTCCATCCAGGCCTCGGCCTCCTCCTACCAGCAGCAAGCCTCTCAGGCCTCCCATCTTGGAAGCTCGCAGTTCTCCCTGGACTCCCAAGTCAGTCGGAAGGCAGCCTCAGCCTACGATTATGGCTACTCCCACGGGTAGGTCTTGAGCAGCCTCCCAACCTTGGGTAGAGGCTGTGCTCTGAATGGTCCTCCCAAATCACTTTTCCTGGCTCCTTCAATGTGGCAGCTCTACCTTTAAACCAGGTGTGGAGAAAGAATAGGTTTGGGGAGTATAGACACCTAAGATACAGGTATAGACACCTGAGACCTGTGTCTATACCTGTTGCCCATGATTGTCTCTTTGGGATTCACAGAGAGGTTCCTAGTTCTCTTGGGGAGTCTCACTTGCGATTCCTGCTGTGATATTTCTAGAAGCAGGGACATTTTGCCACAAGTTACTTTAGCAGCCGCAGAGCCAGAAAATATCATTTCAACACTCACAGCAGGTCTCCTGGCTCTCAGAAGGTTTTTTGCTTAGATGAGAGGCCACCAGGGTAGAAGTTAAAATTCACAGGTCACAGAGGGCTAAATGATGGCAGAGATGGATTCTATTTTTTTCAAACTCAGAAAGCCAATAATCAAAATTCTGAGCTATTATTCAAGCAGAAAATACTTTCTTTAGCTGGAGAATTTTATTAAACAAAAAAACTTGGCCTTATCTCAGTCAGCCTAAGACTAATAGAACCAAACCTGTATTGTAACAAAATTAGATTTATTGAACCAACAATTTGGCAGACTATAGATAACTAGAAGGAGCTATTTTAGGATTTTAGGAAAAGTGGAGTTTAGATGCAGATCTGGTCTACAGAGCAACCCCAAGATCTCATTTCTTTGGAAACAATAAAGTTAAGGTCAAGGTGGACTGTTGTATCCAAAAACCCTTGGTTGGAGCTCTTTACCTGGGGTGGGAGCAAAGGCTGATTTTCTGGGGTTAACAAGCAACTGAGATCCTTTAGGTAAGAGTGAGATGTTTCATTCTTACTGATGTGAACAGCAAACTCACCAATAGTCTGATTGCAGAGAAGAAAGTTCCACCTGCAGTCACCCAAAGAAAGAGGTTAGTTGCTAAGACGCTATGCAGCAGCACCAACCCTGGGAGAAATGTTTTTTCTTGTTAATTTTGCATTTGGCTTCTCTGTGTCTGTTGGTCCAGACCAATGAATGCTGTTTTCCAAATCCAAAGCACTTTTATTTTCTCAGTATTCAGAATAAAATACTTCATGGAGATTTAAAAAAAACAAACAAACAAACAAACAAAAAAAACTCTTGCAAGATACATGTGATTTTTTTTTTAATTGAAAGTCTATCTTTAGCCTACAAAAAGAATTGCTGATCTCCAGAAGCATAGACATTTCTAGACTATGTGGTCAGTAGCCACCTGCTGCCTCTAATCCTCTTCTCCAAAGCATGGGGCATAGTGGCATTTTTTGTTATAAATACGATATCATTTTAAATCTTCCAAAATTTAAGTCCATAAAATATCTGGTAAAGCAACTGGAAAGGGGGCTTATCTCTGGACATCTAAAGTTTTTGAGGAAATAATAGAGTGATTTGTATAAGTAGGCATGAAGAAGTTTTTCCAAGAACAGAAATTCTTAAATTCCTGCTGGGTTTGAGCAGCACCTGATCTACAGCTGTCCTTTGGTCAGTGACCGTGGCCTCCTGGGAGCGTCTGCTAAGTTCAGTAACAGAGCCAGAGCCTTCTGGGGTTTACCTGGAATGTATGATGGCAACCTTCTGAAATTCCATTTAAAATGGAACAGGATCGTTTTGCAGTCTCACTTTCATAGGTCATGGTCTGCCATGGGGTATTCATAAGGATCTCTGTTGGCTGGAAATATGGAAATATTGTTGCTGAGGTGAATTCATTTCTTTTAGCACTTGCTTCAGAGGAACTGCCTTCCAAAGAAAGGTTGGGAGGAATTAACACCATGTGTATGTGACATATCATTTTGTTCTCCTGAAAAATGTTCCATAGATACCATTCAAGAACCTCAATTAGGAAAGCAGCTGTCTTATAATGGAGGAGGATTTACATCTTCAATATCCATTTTCTTGGACTGTCTGTGCTGGGGCTATAGAAGATGGGTATTTTAATTATCGTGCAATTGTTAACATACAACTTTTTGTGTAGTTATTTCATTTTGCCAATGTGGAAGAATCTGTAGAATTTTGTAAGCTTGTATTTTTATATTTTCTTTTTGAATTCTTTTCCTTTTTTTTTCTTTTCTTTTCTTTTTTTTTTTTTTTTTTGTGTGTGTGTGTGCGTGTGTACTAGAATTGAACTCAGGGGTGCTTAACCACTGAATTTCATACCCGACCATTTTTATTTTTTATTTTGAGACAGGGTCTTGCTATGTTGCTGAGGCCCTCACAAAGTTATTGAGACTATTCTTGAACTTGCAATCCTCCTGCCTCAGCCTCCCAAACTGCTGAGATTACAGGTGTGAGCCACCACGCCCAGCATGAACTTCTATTTTTAAGTGATATTTCTTCAGCTTTACATTTATATTTTATTTTAAAATTATTTTAATTTGATATGTCCTTTATTTAACCATGTGTGTAATATTCATATTTGTTCATAACCTGATGTATTACACAAAAGATTCTATTTGTATTACGTAAAGGGTTGAGTATACTCAGAAATCATTTGCTCTATAGAGTCTTAGGAAGACTTAGCCATTTTAGGTATAAATAGTCTTAGACAATAAACTTTCTATAGGAAATTAAATGTAATCATTCCTTGTGTTCAACGTTCTATCTTGCTCCTTCCTACTGTAGGTATATTTGCATAGGTAGGTGGGTATTCATTAATGACTTGCTATGTTTGAACAACTCAGTTTTCTTGGTAGAAACATGTTGAGCTAGAAGCAAGTAAGGGAAGAATATACCAATGATGTCTTTTTTCCTTTGTATCATGCGACCTAGAAGGCCGACCTAATCCTGGAGGTATTTTTGTCTTTCTTTTTTTAGGCATAAAACTAACAGGTGCAGATAATGTTCTTTGAACGCCTTAAGTCTTCATAATTCCTTTAGGTAGTATTTAAGTTTGTTCAAAATGAAATGATTTTTTTTTTCTTGCTAAATGAAATATCCCTTTAGATTTTGAACAGTGCTGTCAATTAAGGCCCCCAGAGATGGAAATGCACTTCTGTGGAGTGGAGTGGATGTAAGCACTCGGCTTGGTCTTGGTCTATTTTTATCCTCCGCTCTGTAGTTAGATGCCCAGTGCTAAAGTGGAAACTATGGAGATTTATAAGAGCTCAAGGCTTGGCTGACCTTTGTGAGTCTTAGGAACAATGGCTTGCTTGGTGTCATTGTGATTGTACAACAGATTGGTTATTAACTGTATTTGGAGCCACGAGTTATAAAATAAATTCTGGAAACCTCACTCTAAATGTCTTTTTTCTTGATCACAGGAAAAACAAACAAACAAAAACACCTATGGTAAATAGAGCACAAAATATCTAAGAATGGCAAGATTATTGTTTTATACTAATAATCAACAAATATTATCAGAGGTTGAAGGAGCAATGTTATTCATGACCACTTTTCACTGTTAGGCAAGGATACTACTTAACCTCTGTCCATGAGTGGATTTCAGTAGAGTGTTGGATGGTCTGAAATTATGTGCAAAATTAGATGAGAATTTTTCTGGAGAGAGGGACTGTCACTTTCATTGCATTCTTAAGATATTTCCATGACCCGACAAAGCTCATAGGCGCTGCTTTAAGAAGTCTGCATATAAATCCAGACAGCCCAGTGTGTAGCCTTAAGAGCTCTTTCCTAATTCAGTAGTATAAGGACCCAAGAGGGAACAGACAGCTGTTCAGAGAATGTGGCCTTGTAGAAGCAAGGTGCCTTCCATTCTTCTGAGTAAGCTGGATCAGACACTAAGTGGGAAGTCATTAAAGGAACATTCTGTTGTACTTAATAAGTAGGAATGAACTTTTAAAAGCAGAGAACAACCCCACAGAGTTCTTGGAGGTTGGGAAGATTGGGAGTTACCCTTCAACCCTCTGTGGTAATGGTAGACATCTAAGTTTCTCATTCTCAACAGATTAAAATTCAGCCCACATGAAGCAATTTTGCATTTTCATCCTTTTCACTGAGTCTTTAAGGCAATTCAGAGAAGTAGAAATTATCATCCTCATAAATGAGAAATGAGAAAATTGGAGATTAAATGACTTTTCTTCATTACTGTAAAATGGAACAGATTTCTGATCCAAACCCCATTTCACCCAAGGGCCTGCCCTTTCCACAGGTACCTGACACCAGTTATAGTCAGCAGCTGCCTCTGACCACACTCTGCCAACCAGACTTTTTTTTTCTCTTTCTTTTTTTTTGAGACAGTCTCCATATGTTGCTCAGGCTGGTCTTAAACTCCTAGTTCAGGGGATCCTCCCACCTTTGCTCAAAGTGCACCAGATTTGCATCCAGGTACCAGATTTTTCTGGAAGCATTGATATACAGTTTTGGAACGTGCTTCCTTTTATACAGCCTTCTTGGGGAAAAGCCATTGAGCACTGATATAACCAAGATTTAGAGCAGGGAACAATGGATGGAAAGACACAAATGCTAAAGAAGAAAATCCTAGGGGTGTTTATAAATGCCAAGCCTATGACTGTCGACTCTAACTCATTAGTATCAGTGAACAGGTGTGCAAGGAATTCTTAAGAAACACCATTTTGGGGATGAGAACACTAAGGCTTGAGTGGCTTTCCCAGGGCTCCCTAACTTTAAATCAGGCCCTTCACCAACACTCGTGTTCCACTCACCAGTCCCCATTGGGTGCTGCCCAGGTAATAACCTTTTTTGAAACTACTAGAGTTTGCAAAGACTATGCTGACATTCAAATTCATTCTGATTCATGCAAAAAATACCACTAAACACATCAGGGTCCAACGGGGACCTGAAAATTTGTTCCATGTCCTACTTCAATATGGTTTCAAAAGGTTACCAAAGAAATCTGGCTTGTGGACATTTTTTGTGACCTGACCTTGGCTATTAACATTAGGTTAGTGTTGATTTTCTACATATCCATTTTCAGACATTATAATGGGATGTGGATGGTCTTGGGATCAGATAGGACTATG